GATAGATAGATAGATAGATAGATAGATAGATAGATAGATAGATAGATAGATAGATAGATAGATACTGTAACAGAGAGAGGAGGCACAGCCAGAGTTTAACCCAAAAGTAGAATTATAAAGGGAATAATATCAATCTAAAAAGAAATAAGACAATCAGTCATTTACATGGATTAAGTTATAGCATGCTATGCTAACGTGAGTAATTATAGCCCAATTCTAACACCGGGAACAAAAACTACGACACGGAGAAACAGACAAATGGACTAAAAACCACAAGAAGGACTAAAAATCATTAAAAAAAGCAGTCAACTCAACTAAAAAATCCCCAAATTAAAATGGCTTCTGAACTAATTTGACCCCATGGATGCATGAGGCCTTTCCAGAAGGAAACTAAGTAAGGTGCCCCCCCCAAAAAAAAACTTTAAGAGTTGCTGGACATTAAAAATGCATCAGTAGCCAATCAGCATGGGGCAGGAGGAAGAGGAGGAAGACGAGGAGATCGATTCTGATTAAGCTGAAAGAGGAAAAGTTGTGTTTCTATCAGGCAAAAACTGTCTGAATGTTTCCACTCTGCAAAAAACTCTGAGAGAATTTCAGATTTTTAGCTTTTTGATGCACAAATCGGAAGAAATCAGTCAGTGACGTTTTTTTTTTTTTTTGCAGGATTTTTAGTGAGAAAAACATAAAAAATGATAATTTCTGTCATTTTTGATCACATTTGAACACCGTGACGCCTTTTCATGACGGCGAACCCTTTTTATGAGTCACTTACAGGCACAAAAACAGCACAAAGACTCACTTCAGAGGACTTCAAACATCAAAGCATCAAAGGCTTCCACCTGTTTTCACTCTTCAAAAAGAGTTTTCGGCCCAAAGGTTTGCACATGTCAGCCTTTTGTTCCCCCGAGAGGAAACTTTTTAACGTTTTAAATGGACGCAAATCGTTTCAATCAGATCCAGAGAGAAGAGGAAGCCCTTTCCTGTGTCTCCACCTAGTGGCGACAGCAGGAACTGCAGGTACTTCTGTCCTTTTTTTCTCATTTATTGTTTATTGTTTATTTGTTTGGATCCCCATTAGCTGTCAGTAATTTGACAGCTACTCTTCCTGGGGTCCTTTTAAAATTATACAGATACACAAAACATATTAAATGATAACATCATAAGAACAATTATACATTTCAAATAATTTCACCTTACATTACAATCTGTTACACAAATATTCATGAATTACGGCTTTCAACAAAATATTTTTTTAGAAATGTTTTAAATGCACCTTTCGTAGTAGCGGTCAAGATGTTGTGAGGCAGTTTGTTCCACAGAGTCTCAGCTCTGAA